AAAAAAAAAAAAAAAAAAAAAAAAAAAAAAAAAAAAAAGGTATTAACAACAACAAATACATACACACAAAAAAACAAAAGACTGCCAATGTCTAGGAAGCAGTTAAGATCATTAAACTGCATGTTTAATCCAATAATGATGGGCAATATGAAGGTGTTTTATATGAAGCTCAAACATTTCATCTTCAATGAAGCCTTCTTTGTCCAGCTCCACCACCAGTTAAATCAAGTCCCATGTGTATACATTTTAAACCAGCTTGTAATTGTATCTTTGTGTGATTATCTGATTAACATTTGTCTCCCTCTCAAATCTGAGTTCCGTGGAGGCAGTCACCATATCTATTATGAAACTTTAGCACAGTGTAGTGCCTGGCACTTAGGTGTTCAACATACTCTAAGTGAATAAATCGAATGCAATACTTGACTGGGGAGGCATCAGGTTGAATTTTATAAACATGCAGTGTTTAGGTTGCTGTTATAGTTCACATAAACCAGCCAAGCAACAGAGGCAAACTCAAAGGCATATAGGCTATGTCCAGATTTAAAATATTTTCTTTAAATAATATATAGATGGATAATAGAGAACTGTCTATGTTTCAGCTGTTTTTAGTATTAAACACATAAGGAAGCATTTCGTGCGAAATGCAGTAAAACATGTTTTCAAGATAGCATCCATATCAATGTCTGGCTCCAACACAACTTTTCTTCCAAGAAAGAACTAAAAAGCTAAACTTTTCAAGCAAGGTTATCTTTTTAAGAAAACCTAGAAACCAAAAACTACAGAGATTGAGTTCACAATCCTTACCCCTCCCAGGTCTCACCCCTCCCACAGTGAAAAACTGCCCCCATGCTTTCAAGAAGGCAACAAGAAAGATCTGTCAGCTTTCAGCATCTTGATATAGTTGCTACAAAAAGAACTAGTTTTGGAAAATAGGCGAGGTTCTCTTAGGGTTTGGGGTTTTATTATTATCGTCCCTTTCCTCACAGTGGAAGCTTTATGGAAGAGGGTTCAGGAGGAAGGCAGGGAGGCAGGCAAACAAGAAGCCCACTGGGTGAGTGAGTGAGTGAATCGTAGGGGAGGAGAGGGCCCACGTGCACGAGTATAGTCTGCAGAGCTCTGCATACCAGACAGGAAGGGCAGCCCCTGGGTATTGTGAGAAGAGGCACAATGCCATCAGACAGGCCTTAAGACCTGTATGGCAACGCGATATGGAAGGGATTGGTGACACAGAGAAGACAGGAGGCTGCAGAATCATCTGGAGAACAAGTGTTGATGTTGGAATGGAAGGCAAGGACTGAAGGGAGATCATGGAAACAGAACTAAGTGTTCAACTCAATATGAAAAGAGTAAGAATGCACAGAAAGTGTCTGCACATAGCTGTGAATCCAAGAGAACTGGCTTCCCACCAACAGCAGGAGTTGCTGCAGTCCAGCGGAACCAAATCAGAAGCAACATTCCAGGTTCAAGCAAGGCCAGGATCCAATAATACGAATGTCTTCCACTCACCATGACTTCTGCCTCTTAGTAGTGTCATTCATCTCACGCATGTCCCAGATGTATCTGAAACCCAAGCCCAACATAATGTCCAGACAACGTGGTTTAATGATTTTTAAACGCTGCATTTGCTTTTACCCTTAAGAGATCAGCACAAGCAGGATGTTTGTAAGCCCATTACACCGGAGGTCTCTCTGAAAACTACAGGAACAAAGAGTGGAGGACACAAACACTGTTCTGTTCTTAGAAAGCCATATTTTCTGTGGCTCATTAACTCTTCTCAGTGCCATTTCAGTTCCCTGCCCTTAGCAGGAGGCCAGTTTGTCAGGAAACCCAGAGGAAGCAAGAAAGCTGTAGCTGCCCAGCTGAGCTGCACATACTGATCAAACTATTTGTAATAAACAGCGCCTGCCCCTGCAGGCCCTCTGAGCACCTGACAGGCCACAGGTAGCATGTGGAACCAGCAAGTGTTTATGATACCCCTGAGAATGCACAAAGGCAAGTGGGGAGGGGGCAGGAGGACACTGCCAGTCCTCCACAGTGGTAATGTTTTGGGGATGCATGAATGACACTGTGTTCTCCTCCTCCGAACTGTGAAGATGTGTTTTGTAAGCACTCACATTTAGCACTCCCCGTCCCACAATACTCAGAGTGCACATACAACCCATTTAAAGAAAAAAGAAAAGAACCACTCGAAGGAGGCAGGCAAGTCATAATGAGTAATCATATCTCTATGGCCCTTTCTAGTCCACATTCTCTGCGTATGTACTGGAAGCAAGAGTTAATGTAGAAAAGGAAAGGTGCAGAAACAAAATGATGTTTTGAGAAAAAAATAATTAGGAGAGCACAAAAGCAAAGGATCAGAGAGACGGGAACGAGTAAATTTAAAGAAAAAGGGAACAAAAATGAAAATCACCAAATAAAGGCTGTTTACTGAATGATTCAGACTAGAGAAAATCAGAGGTCCCGGTTCACATTGTTCTCACAGACTACGTCCTTGACCTCTCCCCCATCTATTTTTGACATAAAATGATTAGACACAAATAGGGCATCTAAACTAGCACAATACTGTTGACATTAGAATGCAAGAGTAAAATGACCATGGGATCCACCACACTTGACCGCACTGTAATTATCTCAATAATTAAAGTATTGCTAAAAATCAATTTGCTGAGATTCTCACTGGAGGCTTAACTTAGGAAGTTGTAAGGAGAAAAAAAGCAGAGAGGCAGCTTCAAAAAAAGATGGCATACTCACAGTACAGCTATCGCAAAAATATTTGGAAGGCTAAACTGATTTTTTTAAGCAAGGAAAAAGTGAAGACTTTTTTAACAGAACAGTTTGTTCAAAGTTACATAAGAACATGCAGAAAACAGGAGATTTCCTTCTTGCCAATTTTTCATGGTAATAGGTTACGCCCAAGATCCCACTCAATTCTGCACATATTTTGAAGCTCCTCTGGCTTCTAATACATGAACGGAGCATGCAGACAAAGACAGAGCTGTAAAACACCACATTTCTGTTTCCCTGACAATTCCAATGATGTTGTGCTCCCTGTCACTCATTTAAATTAGGTATTCTGCACTCAGAGTATTTATGTGTAATGCACTTGCATGTACACACACTTTGGAGTTTTTAAGCAACTAATTCATACACCTACATTTATAATTACTGTCAGTAAGAACCAGATTGGCTGAAACGGAAAATGGCAGTGCTCTGTAATGTTCGAAGCTGAAGTCTGTATTGTCCCTCGAGAAGAGAAAAGAGGAAAACTGTGCTCTTAGATTCTACCGTAGGTGTTTTATGAATGCATTTTCACAGCTTAGTAGATCTTAACAGTTGCGACAGTGCTGTCAAATGAAGGTGGATCTAAGTCTTTCCAGATGTCAATATATATCTTACATGTGAGGTAGAGGTCAGCACTGAAACATTTAATGTCACAATTAACCACCCTGGAATTAAAAGTTAAACTACAATACCCTATGTTCATTAACCCAACAATCTGATTATCAAGTATATCTGGTTCATCTCTCACTACTTTTATATACATAATATTGAGAAAGCTAAGAATGCATATTCTGTTCACTGCCAATTTTTAAAGCAGAGGCAAGAGCCTAAAGGCAAAGGGGTGGGGGAAAGGTCAACTTTTCTATTGTCAAGAGTGTTAATAACCTACAGCTATAAAACTCTCCCAGTTTTCTTTGACAGTGTTGTAGAGATTAATAACCTCCACAGTTCAAACTATACTGTGACATTTTCTAGTGACTGAGAAAAGCTACATTGCAGGCAGAGTATCGCTAACTGGAATACAATCTTGGGGAGTGCTAAAGGGAGGAGATGTGGGCCAAACAATGAACCTGAGAGAGAACAAACTGGTGAATACGACTGTTACATTTGGAGAGAGGGTTTCATGGGCTTGTTTCAATTATGAATGCGTCTTTCAATTGCTAGCTGATGTTTCCATGATTTTGAAAGTTGACATCTAGAAAGGGAAAAAAAAATCTTCATGATTGTCCCAAAGTATTTCACTCTACAAGTGCGTGTGGCAATAGTAACATGCTGGGTGAATTAGATAAAATTTTGTCTAAATATAGGCAATATAGAATGAAAATGTCCGTATCCCAGAAAAAATTAAGCCTGAAATCAGTATTCAGGAAAGGCACTGAGGTCTTCAGTAGTGAAAGAACTACTGAATAAACAAGATCTCATCACTACTTTAAATCTTCTAAAAATAAACTTTTTGCTTCAAAAAGGAGCTGAAATTTTGTCTATTGTATCTACACAGAAAAGAGCAGCTTTAATACCTCTGAGGTTTCTTTAGGAATCAAAGATGATGCAATAATGTAAGGATTTTCATACAGTACTTCTCAAAATCTGTTCTGCAGAACAGCAGCATCAGAAGATTCCATGGTCAGAGTCTGGAAATCTCTCTCTTCCATACCCACAATGCACAGCAGCCATATTAAAGATTCTGACAGTCCTGAAATAAACATACCTGTTTAACTTTGCTTAAACCTGTGTTCACCAAGCTTGCTTTCTTTTTGCCACAGAGTCCTTTTCATCCATAGAACAGTCTTCCAGCGTCCTCCGGGGACTCTACTTTGGAAAACACTCATCTCAAAACTGAACTCATGGGTTGGCTGTGAGTAAAGAACTAAAATGCAAACTTAGAGATTGTTTTTATCTGTTTTCATGAAGGAAAACATTATTTTCCTCTAAAATGCTTAAATAGGAAGAGATTAAAGGATGTGCAAAACAACCGCCTCCCCCTCGCCCCAACCAACCTCCAAAATTCTTTTCTGGTGAAGAAACACCCAAGTGCTGAGACCTAGGAAAATGTGAGGGAAATAAACAATGGGTTTGACAATATAGTAATTCTGAACAATCCTTCCTCTACAAGCCCAATTTGTTTTCTATCACTTCTCTGTAAATTTTTTTCTCCCCAGTGACTCAATCAAATGTTAACTTAGTGGAGGCAGTTTCAATCAAATTTAAAATTTCAGAAAATAAAGCAACAAGCCAAGGGCTTAAGCTTTATGTTAACAGGGTGGCGAGCAGAGAGTGAAATAAGATTAAAGACAAGGGATTTACAACAACTCTTTGGGAGGTACGAGAATCCTCATTCCCATATGAGTCCTGAGGGTTCTGTTGGCCCTTATTAGCGTCTGAAATGAGTCAGGAAAATAAAGGGTAAATGAGGAGAACCTTGGAGTAGATGAAAAAGCTGGTACTTTGGGGACCACAGAAGCCATGAAAATTAGCACTGAGCCCACATGCCCAGGACATAAAAGAAATCAGGACACTCTTAATGAGAATCAGGCTGTGTGCCTAATGAGAACCTTAATATACTTTATCTTCCTTTTATATTTCATTTTGGCGTCATCAGAGACAGTGAACCAACAAGTATTTATTGAGTGCATACTCTGTGCCCAACTCTGGGCCAAGGGCTCGAGGGAGATCCAAACTGCATCCAGCAGCAGTTGGCAATGTGTGATTTCCTGACCAGCATATTCACAGGGGCATCGCAATCACCCAGGAACTCGTTAGAAATGCAGATTTTCAGCCCCACCTTGGACCTGCTAAATGGGAAGTCTGGGGATGGGCTCAGCATGTGGTGTGGTTAGACAAGCCCTGCTGTGAATTCGAGAACCGCTAGTATGAACCTTCGCTGGGGAGGAAGGAAAACATTAACAGCAGCTAATAAAACAGAGCTGAAAAGTGTAGACAGCTCAATGTCAGCTGGTCTTCCTGAATGTTCAAACTCTTCAAGAGGAGTCACTGCCTTTAAAAATAAACCCGGAGCATTTTAAATTCTGTTTCCTTTCTCTCACCTCTACCCCTAGAGGCTTCCGTAAAAACAGCAGAGAACTTGAACTCGCATTATTATAACAATGAAATAAGCACACATTCTAACGGGTATTGTGAGTGTCCCGGCCAGATTAAGTGCCACAGAAAGATCTATTTTTTGTTCTTTAAATAGGCTATAAACAGATATGGCGCCTTAAGGGGGTCTCTATCTGTGTCATATTTGTTACACTGTGTTCAGCAGTAGACCCAGTTCTTTTTTTCAACAAATGGAATGATCTACAGCTCTGGGGAAAGCAGCAGAGGTCATACATTTGCATTTTATTGCTCTACTTATAGCCCTTTTACTACTCTTTACCTGAGAGTCATTCCAGCTGTCCCTTGCCAAAGAATATTTCGTCACACACAGGGTTCAAATGTTTTAAGATAATAGTAATAATAATTGCAGTTAACATTTATTGAGCATTAGGCACCAGGTACTTTATAGGAACTATCTCACTGAATTCTCACACCACCTTACAGGGTAGCTACAGTTATTCATCCCATTTTACAGGTAACGACATTGAACAATAGAAGACAAAGTCTCACAGTGACATGTTATGTTTAAGTATAAAGTTAATGGCTGGGTGCAATGGCTCACTCCTGAAATCCCAGTGCCTTAGAAGCTTGAAATGGGAGGACTGCTTGAGGCCAGGAATTCTAGACCAGCATGAGCAACCTAATGAGACCCTCGTCTCCACAGAAAGACATAAAAAACTAGCCCAGCTCTTGCCCTGAGCCGAGGAGCTTGAGGCTGCAGTGAGCCATTATCATGCCAACGCACTCCGGCCTGGGCAACAGAGGGAGATCCTACCTCCAAAATAAAAATAAAGTTAAGACTCAGCCTTAGGTAAACCTGACTGCAGAGCCCAAGTTCTTAGTCACTGCATCATATCCTCTTGAATTATTTAGGGTACTGGAAGGCACTGGAATATCTTCACTAAAGTTAATATTAGCCTTACTTATTTTTGGCTATTCTATTTAATGGAATAAACAGGCAAGAGGAGGTCTGGAAGGCACTTGAACCATCTGGAATTCCAGGCAATAACGTGCTACACAGTAAGAATAAATCAAACTAGGAATGTGCAATTCAAATACACAGACATATTTTGTCAATATCCCTTCTGGTATTGTGGTATCACGTTTTAGATAAGATTCTCAACAGCAGAGTCTCATCTGTTGATATTATAAAACTACAAGAGCTCTATGTGTATATAAGTGAGATCCTTATTAGTAGAACCACAATAATAAGATATTATAATAACATTACAATATTATATCCTAGGGTATTGTAGTAAAAGGCTATTATCGTGTACTTGGCTAATAGGGTCCATACTGTTATAATATATTAAAACCAGATTGACTAATAAAAATGACAGTATTACCATCATAATCTCTGGTACTTGGTAGAGGGAAACATTTTTCAAATGAGGTCTCAAAGCACCTGCCCAGAATCATTGCAAATTCATATATGAAGAAACTGTGCTACACAGAGTTCATGCAAATTGTTCTCTCTCTCTCTCATATATATATATATGATATACATATATACATATACATATGATATACATATATGATATACATATATATACGTATATATATACACATACATATATATGGAAGTCTTTAGCAAGGTGTACAAAAAAATTTAAAGGTCACCCAAAATAGGTTGACAGCAAAAAGATTGGGTGATGCCAAAAGGAAGAATAAAATAACCTGTTCATTTAACAGTAATTTACTGACTTCCCATTATGTGCCAAGAACCACTCCAGGCTATGTAGATACAACCATAAGCTCAAGAGACAAGACTCTGCTGTTTCGGGGCTCCCATCCCAGTAGAAAATATGGAAAAGCAACACATAAGCAAATAAATAGGTAACATTTTGTTAAATAGTAAAAAACGCCATGAATGGGATCAAGTAACCTAAGAGGATAGAAAGTGATGGGACACTGTTTTTTTGAGATGGAGAATGGTGATCAGGGACCGCCTTCTGAGGAAGCAAAATCTTAAAAGAAGTCAGGATGCAAGGCTGTGCCAACAACTGAGGGAAGAGGGTTCAAGGAAAAAGGAAGAGATAAGTATGGACAACCTGAAGAGGACGTGCTGGCAAAATTAAAGGACAGCGAAGAAGCCCATGTGGGTGGAGCAGAGCAAGCAGAGGATGTCGGAACTGAGAGTGGCAGACAGTCAGCGGCTGGTAGGATATTTTAAGGATGCTGACTTGCTTTCTAGGTATGCGAGGAAGCCACTGGGGGGATCTGAGCACAATCTGAAGTCCAGGTGACAGGTGATGGCTGGGTGACCAGTCCAGATAGGAAATGTGTGGCTCGGTCCAAGGCGTGAGAAAGAAGTGGCCAGAGCAGAAGCGACTGCATGGGGAATGTGGAACGCGCAAGGTTTTTTGATGACCTGAATGTAAAGAATGTGGGAGACGCAAAGACCTCTGGAGGTCTGCCTGAAGCAACTGGCTACCTTTCAGTGAGATGAAAAAAGGAAGGAGAGGGGATGAGGAGCTTGGTTCGGGACATGGAAGTCTGCGATCCAACCATGTGGGCATCCAAGTACAGACAGTCCAGCCAGCAGTGGGATGCTCAAGTGTTCAGAACAAGGTTGAGGCTAGAGACACACAATTGGACTGCATCAGACATCATGGAAACCAACTGCTCCGTTTTTGAATGGGAAAATGAAAATAATTCCAGAACAATTATTATTTCTCATGTGTTTTTTCGTCACCCGGCTTTCCTGAAATGTAATGCTGCAGTGAATGGTGAGGGTGAGTCAGGAGACACGAACTCTAGCTCTGGCCCTGCCAAAGACCCACCAGGCTTGGTTCTCACTTTCTGTATCCTACCCTTCTCGTTACAAAAGCGAACGTAACTGACCAGGATCCTGTGACAGGCAGTAACAAGTATTGCTGAGGACCCAGCGAGATTGGAACCTCATACACTGCTGGTGGGAAGCTAAAATGGTAAAGCCACTTTAGAAAAACCATTTGACAGTTCCTGAAAGATTATCACATGACCAAGTGACTACAATCCTAGGCATATATAAGGGAATTAAAAATAAGTGTTCACACAAAAACTTGTAGGTTAATGTTCATATCAGCATTGTTCGTAACAGCCAAACCAACTTAAATATCCAACCGAGGAATAAATTGTGGCACCTATACACAATGAAATAGCCGTAAATGAAGTCCTGATATACACTGCAACATGGATAAACCTCTGAAAGCATCTTAAGTTAAACAAAAGCCAGACACTAGAGGCCACATATTGCATGATTACATTTCTGTGAAATGTACATTTAACAGCCAAATCCAGTTAACACAGTAAGGAAATCAATGGTTCCCTGGGGCTAGGGGAAATTGGGGTGGGGGAGGTGACTCTTAGGGGGCACGGAATTTCTTTTTCGGGTGATGAAATTGTGTGAAAATGATAGTGGTGATGGCTGTACAACTTTGTGCATATGATAAAAACCACTGAATTGAATATTTTAGAAGGGTGACGGACCATAATGGTATGTGAAAGACAGCCACAGTCAGGCACAGCATCTCAGATAAAAAGAAAAGATACACTAGGTTAAAATCTTATGTTGTCAGAAGAAACATCAATGTGAGTCTTCAAAGTCAAAGTCAAGAGAGACTGTTCAATCATCTGCATGCCGGGATAACCAAGGTGTCCACCAACTGTATTTTCATTTCCACCTGTACTCTGACCTCTGCTTCCAAAGAACTCTAACCTTTGACTGCCCAGTTTAAAGATATTCAACATGAAACAGTGCTGCCAGGCTTCAAAAAGCTCTGGAATAAATATACTGTCTACTGTGGAATAATACCACATTTGAAAGGGAAGGAAGTAAATGTAAGTTTCCTTCTATCACAAGAAAAAATCAACTTCTTAGTAATCTTCCAACAAACCAACACAGTGCCAAGCCCCCGCTTTCCAAGTTATTAATGAAATTTTGATCATGCAAAAATAGTTCAACACAAATGTTCTAATCTGTCCTAAGTTCACCCATGGCTAACCATGTACCCATAATTATGCCCCCAATGAGTAGATAATATATTTTAGTAAAATTCAGATACATGACAATGGAACTAATCATAGTAACCTAGAGATAAGTATGCACCAAATACATAAAAATCCCAATAATCCTGACAATTCTTTCTTATATATAGTAACAGGACTGTGAACATCCAACTATATCAGCTTACAGATTGTAAACTCTCCAGGACACATTTAATTCCACAGGGATTAATGTTATATCCTGATGGAAGGGTTAGATATCCCACTGGGTTCACAGCATGAAAATGGACCCATATCTTTATAAAAGATAACTTTCACAAGAAAAATGGTCTGAAAACACAATGAGAAAACTTCATGTAACTTGACTCATCAGAAATTACAAATGAGAATGAAGAAATATAAATCATATTGTTAATATGAAGTCTTACCAACCTGATGCCATCTGTATCTGCAAGCTATTTTTTCAGTCTCATTACAAAAGAGGGCATTGAGAACTTTCCCTGTTATGACTTTGAGTGATCCTGCTCAGAATTTAGAAGAGAAATCCTAAGGCATGTGTGTTTACAGACGCCAACACCATTCTTCATAGATCATGAGTTTTGATTCTGTACTACATTTTCCTAAGTCTTGCCTTAGGTAGTGTCTCCATCTCTCTGGAATCCTATTCTATATCTTGATACTACTACTGTTTGTCATGGACTGAATGTGTCCCCCTAAAATGCATGTGTTAAAGTTCTAACCCTCAAATGCGATGGTGTTAGGAGGTAGGGCCTTTGGGAAGTAATTAGACTGAGTTAGAGTCACAAGGGCAGAGCCACCATGATGGGATTAGTGCCCTTTTAAGGAGAAAAAGGGATCCTAGAACTTCCTTTTCAACCATGTGAGAGTATAGCTAGGACATAGCCCTCTGCAAGCCAGGAAGAGAGCCCTCACCAAGAACCAAATCTGCCAGAACCTCTTGCATTTTCTAGTCTCCAAAACCTTGAGAAATAAACGTCTGTTGTTTAAGCCATCCACCCTAAGTCATTTTGTTACAGTAGTCCAACCAAAGTAAGATATTCATGGCAGGAGGTCATACAACAGCAGCTGGCCAGAGAACAACCAATCACAGAGATGAAGCTAAGCAGAGGCTTAATGCAGCTTGGGATAATGGAAAATCCTGAAAAAGAGGAGGCGAAATCAATTGAAAGAGGAGGTGAAATCAGTTGGAAGAGGAGAACTCACAAAATCAAAGGGAAATAAAAAATGATCATTTCCATGAATGGGGATGTAACTTTGAGGATGTAGAGTTTTCCCAGCACCTAGGATGGTAATGGGCACAGGCATTTAAAAGGATTTGCTTTAAGGAACAACGATGAAAACCATTACATAGGAAACAAGGAACTGCTAGGAAGTAAGCTGCTATGTTGAAAACACAGCCTTAGATAGGTTCCTCCTGGTGGTTGAGTTCTAGGGCTCCATAAGTCAAATTCCATACCAATTATATCTTTAAAGTTTCTACAAACTATTGTTACTTTTATTCCATGATACAGTTTATCAGCTGTGAAGGTATTATAGCAGATTAAGATCTTATTAAGCACTAAATATAAGAAAGTGTGTTTATTAAACAGAGACCCTATTTTGTTTCTTCTCCAAAAACACTTGTCTATAGCTTGTTAATGCTTGTTTTGAATTCTCTCCCTATTGTTGGAGGCAATTCACAGAGAACACGGCAAAGACACAGTCAGATACATACATGAAATGTCTCCCTTTCTTTCTGCTTTGCACTGCCATGAGAATTCTTTTTTTTTTTTTTTGACAAAACTTTACTAGGAAAAAATTCACGCATTTAGCATAGCCTGTACATACTTAACTGTGTCATCCTGCTTTGCAAAGAAGTTCCTGACCTGTTCTCTATAGTGCTCTCAGGACTTTGCCTAGTAAACATGGTGAGCTGCCCTGACCCATCCCAGTTCTTCAGCCAGTCTATCTTTTTGGTGATAGACAATCCAAACTTTAGCTGCTGGGAAGTAACTGTCAATGACTGAGCAGTGATATTTGTATCCTTCACCCACCAAACCTTATCCAGAATAAGAAAACAGAACTTTCAGCTATGGGATAAAACTGTCAATAATAAATGGAAGCAGCCATATGAAATAGTAAAACTTAAAAACATATTTTTGTTAATACTTTCCCCAATTATAAAAGTAATACATATTTGTTATAGAAATTACAGAGAAGTATAACTAATACCATACTAACTGGAAGAGATTCTCTAAGCACAAATGGAAGGGTTCTCTAATTTTTGTATTCTGTTATTTTTTTATTGCATTTTAGGTTTTGGGGTACATGTGAAGAACATGCAAGATTGTTGCTTAGGTACACACATGGCAGCGTGATTTGCTGCCTTCCTCCCCTTCACCTATATCTGGCATTTCTCCCCAGAGTTCTTTAACATTCTCCTGTCCTACCTTCGCTTCCCATCAATCATGTGGTCCCATGATCAATGACA